GTCCCTCCACACCTCTACACCTGGGTCACCAGTGAACTTCTTCCCTTCCCCACCTCACCAAAGTGGATGTAGCCATCACTACCTTTTGGGGGCCCTTCCCACAGTCTATTTCTCAGTTCTGGTAAAAATTCTCTATTCTTACAGAGGTCTTCTGGGAAGACCCTACCGCTGGCCATACAGAAAGGCCTCCCATAGCTTCTGTGCAGGCTGTCCTCTCTAGTGACCTCCACCCTGTACTTCCTTCTTGGGGATAGAGCACCAGAGGAATACAGTGTCTTGACAGGTGAGCTGGCACCTGGAGACTGGTTTTCTGTGGTGCTTTTAAGAGGGCTGTGGGGAGGACACCCTGCTGGGCAACAATGTGTGATACAGACCCAGCAGGGGCAGGAGAGGGAGAGGCCTAAACAGGGAACTGAGAGCTGCAGGCAGGTGTGTGAACTTGAGCGTTTCTGGCAGGGAGTCAGATCTGATCAAGCACAGTGGACAGCATGGGCCTGGGGTCACCCACCTTGGTCTCCTTGGCTAGTATGGCTGGGGACAGGTACAGTGGGAGAGTCAGGTGGTGACGGTGGCTGGGTCTGTAGTCAGGATTCAGGGCAGGCCGGTGGTCACAGTCAGGGCTCATCAGGACCTAAGCTAGCTTACCTGGAGCAGGAGCAGGAGCAGGACAGTGCGACCCCAGTCTCCTCACCCGCTCTGGGGAAAGAGAAGTCTAGTGAGCATGCACTGCAGGAGGAATGTTGGACTTACGTGGAAGGTACGATGAGTTTCAAGGGCTTTAGCACATCTATTTTACTTACCAATGTGTGATTTTGTGCTGTTCTTCTCTATTCATTACAGTGGGTCCCTATTTACTGAGTTATCTTAAATCTGATCTCTCAGCCTCAGACTAGACAGGAAACCCCCATTCCTTTTCCCACAGTCAGGAGGATGGAGTGGCTCTGGGGGTGCTATGGGGCTCTGCCTCTTACGCAGCACTCACATCTTTCCCGTCTCGCACCTTCTGCTTTACCAAGGCCTGTCTCTAGTCCTTGTGTGGCCACCTCAGCCATTTTTGGCTCAAATTGCCCTTAGTTCTCATTTCCAGGTGCCCAAGTTTCTACTCCATTGCAAATAAATTCCATTTCAGCTCCCTTCTCCTTTCAGAAGCCTTTCCTAGATACCCCAGCCCCTAACTAGGGCCAGTTTAGTCTAGACCAGAAATGGGCTGAGGGCAGCCTAATTTTCCAGGTTCTGCCACAGGTTGAGAAGGGGAAATGACACTGGACTTACAGCTGTTTAGGCTGGTTGCCTACTGAGTGCCCAGACCCACAGGGAACTGGGGGTGGGTTCTAGGAGCCTGGGCTAATGCTCCCGGGGGAGCATTAGTGCTGTGTTGAGGGAAGTATAGCCTGACCCCTGGTGAGCACTGCTCAGTGGTGCCAACTGCAAATCTGGGCTCTGGCAACATCTCTGCTTGCAGGGATTCTAGGTCCCCTGGAGCTAGAAGTGTGGCAAGCAGGGGGAAGTCTAGATTCAGGTCCTGTTTCTGCATAGATGCTGGTTATTTTGGATAAGACACTGCACCTTGCTGAGTCTCTGTTTTCTCATGTGCAGAAGGGTAATCATCTCAGTTATTTGGAGAGCTGTTGTAAAATAGGTAAGATAATTTATGTAAAGTGCCTAATGCATCAAATTGTAGGTACTCCAGAAATAGCAGCTTTTATGTGGTATAAATAATAAATAACAGCAAACCCAAATGTCCAGCTCTACCTATTTCTGACTGTGCAACTTTGAACAAATTCCTTGTAAGTTCATCAGAGCCCTCACCTGTAAAATGAAGATTGTGGTCATCCATTTATTTAATAATTACTGAGCAACCTCTTATGTACTGGGTGCAGCTAAACCTGTCATTTAGTGTTAGTTAAAAGACACGGCACAGTGCCTGGCATAATAGGTGGTCAATAAATGCTAGTTTTCTTACATAAGTTCCAGCTGGAGGATGGGAGATAGATGGGGGTGGTGGGGGGTGGGTGAGGGACAGAGAAAGGGACCTTAGAAGGGGTAGCAGTGGAGGTCTGGGCCTGCCTTAAATTCCTAGCTCTCCCCTGGCCCATTTCCCTTCCACTCACAGGACCCCGCTTTACCCATAAGGGGAGGGAATGGTGCTGGGGTCTCAGAATAGTTTGCCCCCCTTTCTGCTCCTCTGTCACATCAGACTTCTGTGGGTTAGATAGCCTATCCCTTGCCTGTAAAGTGGAGACAATGACATCTCCTCATTCTCACACACTGGAGACACTGCAATATGCCTACGCCATTAAAGTGGAATCGGACCAAGGACCTCTCCTCACTGCCCTGACATCCCAGAGTGGTCTCCCCACCAAGCCAGCACCCTGGTTCATGCTCCTGGCTTCTTTCCCAGGGACCACAGGCTGGACCCACCACCACCCCTGGCTTCTCGATGAAACCCCACACCCCTTCATTTTGACTTTGCCCAGCTCCTGAGCAACACTAGACCGGACCCTCCCAGGAGAGTTGTGTGTGTGTGTGTGTGTGTGTGTGTGTGCACAAGCAACATGAGACCTGGCATGCAGGAGGTCTACAATAAAAGCTGATTGAATGAATGCTCCCTTTGCAAATGGGGCTCGTTCATTCATTCAACAAACATTTATTGAATACATAATCCATTTGGTGCCAGGCTCTGTGTCAAGGGCCATTAATAATAGCCAAGCTCTCCAAAGACTGAATGGCATTCACAGGTTTTCTGCTCCCAGGACCCGCACCCCACCAGAGGCACATCTGGCTCTCAGATCCCAGCCCATCCCTCGTTCCCAGAGACCAGAGCACTGGTCCACCATGATTATGACTACAGAACATGTTTGAGTACCAAGTCACTGAGTTTGGGGTCAAATCCTGGTACCATACCTATCCTGTGCCCTTAGACAAGTTATTAACTTCTCAGAGCCTCAGTTGCCTCATCTGGAAAACAGGTATAAATATAATTGCTTATCTCATTCATATTTGCTGTGAGGAATAAGTGCAATAAGACATATACTTAGGACATGCCCAGTGCATAGGACATGCTCAGTGAACGTATTATGATTATGATTACTCTCTGACACAGCACCCTCTGCCTCCGCCATGGCACTGGCTGTCACAGGCCTGAGCTCACAGTAGGTGGTCAGTAAAATAGGACTTCCTGGAAACAGGGAGATTTGATGGGACATTCTGGGCGAGGAACCCAGAAACTGGCAGGGGTTCGGAGGTGGGGAAAAGCAGGGAGAGCCTGTACCTGGAGGAGCAGGCAGGTCTGGAGGAAGCCCGGGATTTGGCTGTGTCTGCCTCAAGACAGGGAGCCCACTACTCTGAAGCAGTGTGTTTCATGCTCAACAGCTCCACAGTCACAGCTTTTGCATAGGTGGCCGTCCTTTGCCTTTCAAGTCATCAGAAAGCCACAGGGAACCGCCCCTGTCAGTGAGGCCCAGACTGGGTGTGGCATCAATACAAGGGCAGCCAAGTACTTTTGGGGCCTTTGAGAACCTATACCCATTTCGATACCCACTTCGCCCTCGTTCAGGGCACTCTCTCACTACTGCGTCAACGGGGCAAGGAGCCAGGTGATGTGTTAGCCATGGCCACACGTGATCTCAGAGCAGAATGGGGGTCTCCCAGGAGAGGACAACGCCCTTCCTAGGGCTCCCTCAGTTTCTTCCTGGTGAAGTGGGACTCCCTGAAGATGTCTTCCCCTTGACTGTTGTAAGGCAGAGAGACTGGAAGTCTACAATCTGTCTTGCCATTGGAGAACAAAAACGAGTCCCAAAGCTAGGTGTGCCCAGACCTGGTGAGGCAGGGCAGGGTCCAGCTGGCCATCCCTTGGGGGACCCCTTGGCATTTATTCTCTGAGCCAGGGTCCCATCACTAATTAACACCCCTGTCCAAGAATGTCCTGGGGCTGATGGAGGGTCTCAGACCTCTTACTCTCAGTCCTGGGCAGAAATAGCTAGCCACAACCCCCTACCCTGGATTTCCACTCTGGAGGCTACACCTGGCTGACTCTTTAGGGCTGAGGGGAGACCCCAACACTGAAGAGCAGGCCTCCTAGGCCTGGCCTGTCTCATCCTGACAGCATCTCCAGCATGTGCTCCAAACCGGCCAGCAGTCTGTCACCCCACCCCGGGGGCTGCAGAGCGTCTCTTCTGCCAGGCTCTCCTGGGCACCCACGTGCAGAGCAGATACCCCTCCTGGCAGGCTGTACCTCTGCCTTCATTGAAGTGTGCTGCGGGGAAGCCCCGAGCAGTGACATCCTTGCACTGCCATCACCGCCACCTCCCTGCTCTGAGCAAGTGGGAGGCCATCGTGCTGTGACCCAGAAGCAGCTCCCAGTTGGCAGCAGCAGCTTCCTTCCCACCCCACTCAGGGCTCCCAGCCCTGGAAAACACTGGAATTGGCGCTGGGGTCCCACTGACAACAATACATGCTCAGTGCCTTGGCCTTTACCGAGTGCTTTCGCAGTCGGCATCTTGTCAAAGCCCCACAGTAGCTGGTGAGGTAGGTGAACACTATCAGACCCACTTCATAGATGAGGTAGATAGGCTCAGAGAGGCGAATGGACTTGCCTAAGGTCACACGGCTACCAGGTATCAGAGCCAGGTATGGCCTGGAAACCACATGCTCATGGGGGGCAGGGTAGCACAGGCTCTGTGACCTTGGGCCAGTTACTTAACCTCTGTGAACCTGAGTCTTCTCATTTGAAAAATGAGGATAGCTATAGTTCCTGTCTTGTCGGGTTTTCGTGAAGATTAAATGAGATTATGCTATGAAACGCATATGGCACAGTAGCAGCATAGAGATCTGCTTAATGAATGTGAGCAACAGTTTGGATTATCAGCCCTAGAATATTCAGATGCTATATCTACACGGACCACGCCCCAGGTGAAACCCTGGTACTGCTAGGCTCCTACCTCGTCTCTGTTGGTGTCATTCATGACCTGCCAAGGTGGGCTCAAGGTCCCAATGTGTAGAGGCAAGGCCACTGGATTCCTCTAGGGGCTGCCTGCCTGTTGAGGTCAGTGGCCTGTCTGTGCCCCATGGTGGCTGCTGCCTCCTTTCTCACATGGATCTCAGCTGCGCTCAGGGCTGAGCCACAGGATGGCTGAGGCTCTGCTGTGAGTCTCTGCTCCCTGGTGGACAGGGCTGAGCATGGAACAGAAAGGTTTGTGAGTGGTCCAGGTTCTCTAAACCCCTACCCAGCCCAGGCTAATCCTGCAGGGTCTGTGTAAGCCCAGCTTCCCAGCATGCAGGCCTGGCCCATGGGAGCAGCTTGCTCCCTGTGTGTCCTGGGCAACCCTGAGATGGGGGCTTGGGGTAGCGTTGTATATATCCTTGGGGAAGGAGAGGCAAGATCTGCCATGGAGTAGAAGGCGTGACCCTTGGCCCAGGTGGAGTGCTGCTGCCCCAGGCCCTCAGTCCTACCGCCGCCTCCACACACTGCTAGCCCTGGCCCTGGACACGGTTCCTTCAGAGCCCGCCTCCTGTGCACGAGTCCCACCAGGACCTGGCCCAGGCCAGCAGCCAGACTCCAGAGGAGCCTCAGGTTAGACCTAGCCCACCTAATTTACCTAAATTTGGACTGCCCCCTTCAGGAGCCCTGCAATGAGAGGGGCGGGAAGGAAGTTCTGGACACACTTCCTGGGATCTGGGAGGCAAGTCGGCATCTCTGCGCCCGAGATGAGCTCCGAGAAAGCTCGGGGGTCTGTGGGGCTGGATCCTCGGCATTTTAAAATTTTATTATGACTGTGTTTGTTTAAATATATATGTATATATATATTTATAACTCTATGTACCCACCATCCCCCTGTCCCCTCCCTGGCCCTTAGTTTTTCCCCTTGGCTTTCTGCCTGGTGGCTGTGTAGGGAAGCACTGTCTGCGTGCTCTTGTCTGAAACCGTTTGGGTGCTGCTGTTCCTTGTGACCCTTCGGGTCTGCTCAGGGGCCAAGGTGGGGCCCGAGCATCGGCCAGGAAGTAGAGAGCGCCTTGGCTTGTTGGGGGCCAGAGAGGTCTTGAGGGGGCCCCTGTGGGCCTCTGTTCTAGGAGGCTCTGGGGACAGGCCCACCTCCTCCTCTGCTGCCACCTCTTCGCCGTCCCCCTCCTCATCGTCACAGCACAGAGCATGGTAGAGCACTTTGTCACTGAACCGCACTCTCTCCCGTGTGCCTGGGGTCCGCTGGGGCAGCTGGCCCTTAACAGGGCCAGTGCTGAAGGCCTCCTCACTGGAAGAGTCCGGGGTCTCCACCCGAGGCCCATTAGGGATGGGTGTGCCGCCATTCATGAGTCGGTAGTCAGGGCCAGCCCCTGGTCGGGTCAGCTCGGGGCCGTCCACAGAGTCCGAGGCGGTAGAGACATCCAGGAAGGAGCAGAACTCCCAGCTATCTGAGAGGATGTCGGCAGTCATGAAGTCCAAGTGACCCAGGTCAAAGGGGCCGCCCACACCGGCCTTGTCGCTGCTGGAGGTGCTGCTCACAGTGGCCGTGGTCCAGTCGTCCGGCTCCAGTTCAAAGTCGAAGTCCGAGGTCAGCTTATCTATCTGGCTCACCACCTGGTCGGGGAAGGGCAGAGACATGAGAAGGGCCAGGCAGCACCTGGTGTCACTTAGGTGCGAGCATGTCCCCCTACCCACATCCCCCAGCTGATGACCCTATGGGGTGGTGACTACACTTGAAGTCACAGGCTTGTCTGCCCTGTGGAGAGCCCAGAATAGACTAGGACTTGACCCTGCCATCCCAGTCTTCCACTCCGTGGTCTGTTGGAAGCAGGGGGACTGCCTTCCAGCCCTGCCCCCATCCATTCACACACCCTGTGCCCCCAAAGCCAGCTGCTGTTCCGATTCCTTTGACCAATAAGGGGCCATTTAAAGAAGGCTGAGAGATGCCAGCAAGTCCACTCAGTGGAGAGCTGACAGGTCTACCCATCCTCAGAGAGAAAAATGATATGGGGTGACCATGAGGAAACACCCTGGATCAGCCTGTGCAGCTGGTCAGCAAATGTCCCCCTAAGGTCCCTACCACCCCACCCCCATGCACCCCAGAGCCTTCTCCCTCCTTCCTCTGCCTGGCCTCTGGTGACTGGCCAATCAATCCTCGCTTGTTGGGGAAGGAATACAACAATCATTATTCGGTAAGCAACACAAAAACCCATCCCTCCCGGGCCAAGAGCTGCCTGTTAAATGCAGTCAGGGTTGGGGGTGCAGTTCAGCTGTGAGGTCACTGCAGCCCGCCCACCCCAGAAGGACTGAAGTTGACCCCACGCAGGCAGGCCTGCCGCGGGACATCCCCTGGCCCAGACAACTGTCAGCACATGGTTCAGGGGTGGAGATGGTGAGGGGAAAGGGGAGACCCAATCAGAGACATAGGGAGAGGACCATTGAGAGAAGAGAGGCTTCAGGCCAAAAACAAAATAGCAAAACATCAAAAACAAAATGGAGGAACCAAGAGACCCAGGGACAAAGCCATACGAAGGGAGTGAGCAAGCCCAGGGCCAGCAATCGGTGCCTCTCCAATATCCCTACCCAGAGGCCAGTCAGTCAATTAACAACCCAGTGCAGTCCCTAGCCTACAAATCTTTATTGTGGACCTCTGCTGTCCAGGGATGTGCTAGAGGTCTGGCGAAGAGTCCTCCAAAGTGAAGGAGGAAAGCAAAGGCAAAACTGGGGGATCAGGAAGCGTCTGGGTCAGTGAGATGTGTACAGTGGGATCAGGGCATTACTGGATCAGGGGGTCCATGCAGGTGACCTCGTCAATTTCCCACTTAGGTCTCAGTTTTCCAATCTGTAAATGGGGAGTTGGCCGAAGTGGTTGATCTCCAAGGTTCTTCCAGTCTCTGAGATCCCAGGAGTGACTGGGGAAGCTGGCTCGGGGTGTCGATGCCTAGGGATGCCCATCCCCACAGCCCCAGGTCAAGAGTGGCCGGAACACTTGTCTGAGGCCTGCAGAAGAGCTGGGGGAGTCAAGACACCTGGGTTCCAGGCTCAGACAGTGCTTTGTGTGTCTTTGGGTAAGTCACACAGCTTCTCTGGACCTCCACATCCTTTGCCACCAAGTAGGCCTGACAACCTCAATCCTGCCAACTTCACCACAGCTTCATGAGGAACAATGACAGGGGGAGTGAAATGGGCCTATGGGGCACTGGTGATAAAGGAGACATCATCTCCCATCTCTGAGCACCTACTCTGTGTCAGACTTTCCACCCATGAGATCATCATTTCCTGAGGTCACAGGTAATGGGACTAAGGCACCAGTCACCGGGGAAGCTGAGATTCCTGCCTTTGCCATGTCCTGCAAGTCTGGACACTGCTCTGAGTGTTGCTGTGATTTCTGGGTTTGGGCAGGCAGTGGGCATGGGGCCCCACCCTCCAGTCTGGCCATCCCTTGTTATGTCTCCCACTCCAACGACTCCCCCTATCACAGAGAAGGCTGCATGACCCAGAAGCCCTTGCTCAACCCAAGCCCCCCCCCAGCCTGAGGGCTGGTGGGGACCCTGGCCTAGAATCAGGACTCTCCAATTGGAGTGTACATCAACCCACTCCCCAGAGTTTCTGATTCAGTAAGTTCTGGGTAAGGCTCAAGAAGGTACAGGTCTCACAGGCTTCCCTGTGCTGCTGCTGTTAGTCTGGGAACAAACTGAGAACCACTGACCTGAGGGCCTGGGGTTAAGCTGATGAAGAAATAGCACCTCAGGGCATTGCTGGCCTCAGGAGAGGGCTTGTACCTCTGGGAAGCCACGCCCTCCAATCAGACTGCCCTGACCGAGCTAGCTGCTGAGAGTCTGCTGCTGCCTAAAAGGACGTGACACGAACCTGGAGTAACATTACTCGGCTGTGATGGATGACAGAGTTGGCTGAGGCCAGGCCACGCCTAGAAGCTGGGTTCCTAACACCCTGTGAGAAAGATCCAAGGTGCACAGGGCAAAATCCCTGAGGCTGTCAGTTCTGAACTCACTTCCCTCATCCAAGAGGCCCTCGCCAGCCATCTTCTCCAGAGGCCTCCACATTCAGGCCCTTCCCCTTCCCCCTGAGAATTCCCTCCCTGGTTCCACCCTGGAGGTGTGGAGGCAAGACAAAGAGGGAGGCCTGGATTCAAGTCCCAAGTCTGGCTTTCCCCTCTCCAGTCTCCGTTTCCTCCATTGTAAAGTGGGATGATGCTCTTCTCCTTGCCCAGGGGACGGGGACTTAAGAGATACATGAATGTGCATTCAAGTGCAGTCAGCACGCACAAGCACCTGAGAACCTGGGCTCCGGAGCCACACTTGGGGCTCTGCCCTGGCCCACAGCTGACCGGCTTTATGACCTTAGCCAGGTTACTCATTGTCTCTGTATAACTTTCTTCAGCAAAGAATTCTCATTCTCCTTTGTTAGACTGCAGTGAGGATTTGGGGCTTGTTAGGCTGTTGTGAAGATTTAAGGACTTGAGGCACAGAAAGCATGTGGAACAATATTCACCATACACCACTGGGCACTAACACATGAGCAGGCCCCAGAGCTGATGGGAGTCAGTTCTTTACCAAAGGAATAACGCTGATGGGGACGTATCCAGCGCCTGTGGCAGAATGATGGGACATGTTGGGCCTTTCAAACCCCAGCACATGGGTGGCACCCATGTTGCCTAAAGCAGGGCTGTTTTCAGATGCAACAGACGCCGAAGAGTTTCTAAAAGCTGAATGGTTGAGGCCCACGGGCCAATCTGGCTCCGTTTATTAAGTGGGACAGGTCAAACTCACATGATGAATGACACAGTGAGGATTGGAAAGGGGAGTGAGGTGCCAGGGGCACCCAGGCTGTATGCGGGGCCTGGTCGGCTGCAGCCCTGCTGCCCGTCCCTGGTGCTGCGTCTCATGGGGCCAGTGGGAAGGCAGGGGTAGGAGGCCCCATGCTACCTGCCTCTCTGCTTGAGATATCTTGAAATTTGTGATTTCTCTCCGAGATTTAATAATCATTTTGCCTACATGTAATTTGAGATTGTCTTGGAGTGCAGAGCCAGAAGGGACTGGAGGCACTGTTGCGTCCACCCTTCTTCCTGTGCGTGCTGCTAGAGAAACAGGCCCAGAGACTGGAAGGAGCCGAGCTGAGAGCAGAAGTCAGGAGTCCTGACTCTGGGCCCGGTCCCTTAAGAACATGAATCGCCTGCTTACAGTGGGTAAGAGGGAACAGTAGGAAGGAAGGGCAGGTGAAGGCTGAGGCAGAATCCTCTGGGGGCCTGGGCCCTGACCCAAGGGCATCCCCAACTTCTGTCCTGGTCACAGCCTCAGCTCCCCTCACCTGAACAAATGCATCCAAACTCATCTAGTCTCCCTGTGAGCAGCAGCTTCCTGTCCAGCTGCCACTGCACGCAGCACCCAGGGAACTTCCTAATTAGCCCACAGGACCTCAGCACTACTCTGCTTCCAGTACTTCCTGAGCACTTCCATGCTGAGCACACTTCCTTCTCAGGACTTTTGCACTGGCTGCTCCTACTGCTTGGAGACTTGAAGAGTTTGCTCCCCAAACTCTTGCGCCTCCAAACAATACCCCTCACCAAATCTGGCCGAGGGCGCTTTGCTCTCCACCCTCCCAGGCATGCCTTCTCACCACGCTGACACGCAAACTGTCTGAGCACGCTGCTGCCTCTGCACCTCACCCAAATGTCTCGCTCCTGTCCTACTCACTCCACCTCAGTGCCACAAGGAAGTCTTCCTCGATCTCCAGGTAAGGAAAGGTTTCCTATGAGAGCCTCTCAAAGCACCCTGTAACTTTCCTTCACATATTATCCAGTATTTATCACGGCTACAACGTTATGAGCATATAGGTTATAATGTGCTTGGTGTCTTCTCCCTATGAGGAGTGGGCCAGAAAATGCCTTGCCCGCCAGTGGATCCCCAGTTTGATACAGGGCTTGGGACATTCTTTACAAATACAGCCATTGAGTGAGTGGATGAGTTCAGACAGCTTAATAAAAACTGCTGGGGGATCCTTTTCTGAGAAAATGTTCTATGGTCCTAGACATCCCAATATTGCCTGTCCCAGCCCTCCCTCCAGCCCTGGCCGAGCTGCCTCTCCAGGAAAAGCATGGCTGTGTTCCACAAAACCCTGGAGCCAGGACAGAGGCCTGGGGAGTCCCACAGCCTCTGCCTTCTCCTGTCTTCCCTTGCTCGCCCCTGGGCCCCTCACTTCTCTTGACAAGTTGCTACCTCCTTTCTTCCCTCCCGGCTCTCCAGGCAGATGGTTACATAACTGAGATTCTGCATTATTTATGACCACTGATTATTTTTTTAATTCTGTGATCATGTTATTTATTGTCTTCTTGGGGGCTGTAGCATGGCGGGGGGGGGGGAGTGAGTTGACCGTGATTCATCTCTCATCCTGCAATTTGGCCTAATTGACCACGGAGCTTCGTGAATCTCTCCGGAGGAGGAGAACACAAAGGGAAAAAGGAGGCAAGGAAAAAAAATTCGCACAATTCTTGCTGAGCTGCGGGTGATGGAGCTGACCCACTTTGGCACATCTCTGTGGTCCCCAGCCTCTCCTGCTCCAGCTGCTTTCTGGCTGGGCCATATTCATTCCCCTCATGCTGTCGGGCCTGTGGCTTTCCTGGCCACCTCATACACAGCACCTTGCCAATGGGATGGCACCACTGCCATGTGCCTAAGTCCCCAAGTCCCCAAGAAAATCAGGTGGGGAACTTCACTTTTACCTCAGTCTGCAAAAGGATTTTGTCCCCTGCTCCATTCTCCTGAGGTGTTTATGCCAAGGTGGGCGACTGTGCCCTTGAGTTACATCCTACCAAACAGCCAGTGATGATGGGCAACACAGGAACGTTTTTGAGGCCCCATGCTGAGCAACGCCTTGGGGATGGGAGAACCAAGGAAGAGGAGGCCAAGTATCTACTCAAGGTAAGCTCAGCATCTAGGGGGCCAAGGACAAGGGCTTTTACCCTTGCCCCTGGGGGCTCCCAATTGGTAGGGAACAGGGAAAGCAGTGGAGAGGCAGATTCCCACCCAGAAACACAACAAGGCGATTCCTGGAGAGCATGTGGGATTCTGAGGACAAAATCCAAATTCCGTACCGTTTCCAGTACACTCTGTGTGCCCTTGCCTCCTGCTCTCCGCCTTGTGGTCTGCCCACCCTGACTACACCGGCTTCCCTGCTGATCCCGACCATGCTGAGCACACTTCCTTCTCAGGACCTTTGCACTGGCTGTTCCCACTGCTTGGAGACTCATCCCCACATATCCATTTGACTTGTACCTTCCCTTCCTTTGGGTCTCTGTTCAAAAGTCATCTTATTGGAGCCCTGCTTCCCACCCCCATCACTGTCCCCTGTACCAACCAGAAGAGGGTGGAACTGCCTACTACAGGGCCCTGGCTCTGACCTCCCTGATCATGGTGAAGAAGCCAGAGACTCCAAAAGAACACGGCCTGAGATGGAGTTGAGGAGTAGGCCAGTGTTAGAATATTTAATCAATAATATCTAACGCATATGGAGCTAGTTTTGTGCCCATCGCTGTACTAAGTACATCATATATAATATCACATTTAATTCTCACAACCACCCTAGGGCTGGTGGCAGGAGGTGGCATAAAATTGCATACCCTCATTTTAGGGATTCAAAACAGAAGCACAGAGAGGTAAAGTAACTTTCCTAAGTTCACACAGCTAGGAAGAGGGTGGAGCTTGGGTTTGAACCAGAGACACTGGGCTGTGGAGCCCATGCTCTTAGATGTCAGGCTGTGCTGCTTCTCTAAATTAAGATCCACAGAATTCTGAGCTTAGAATTCTGAGCCTGCTAGGACTGGCCTGGCACCCTGGAGTACTGGTGAACCTAGGGGGCTAATTAATGATTTACCATCACATCCCTCTGCAGCACCATGTTTGCTTTCAAAACACTTTTACATTCCTCACCTCACTTAGTCCATGAAACTATTTTCCCCACCCATGGGACAGAACTTGCCCCTCGTCTCCCTGGGGAAGCAGAGACAGAGCTGCAGCAGGGGTTTGGAGGTCAGGGAGACATGGGAGAAGGAACCCCAAACCCTTTAGAGGTGTGAGTAGGCATTGGCCCCCACTTACTGCATGCCACGCCCCCAATAAATCCTTGTAAGATCATTCTCAGTGTGAATTATCATCATCCCCATTCCAGAGATGAGCAGACTGAGGCTTGGGGGCTAGGGAGCAGTGCTTTAGTGCTCCTCATCTTTCTGTGAATTTCAGGCTGTATGCTCAAGAGGATGAGGAGGCTCTGCCATGATCTGTGGTATCTGGGGAAGGAAGCAGCAGATGGAGAAGGGGGATAGCAGAGGGGATACAGCTAAGCCCTTCCTTTCTGCTGGCCTTCCTCCTTTATCAAGCACCCTGTACTGCTCCCAGGCAGTCTTGTATGTGAATTTTGGATTCAGATCTAAGTGGTCTGCTCTCCTGAAACCAGAACTTAGATGGTGAACTCAGCTGGTGCTGCCTAGAGGGTAGGGTATGATAAAGGAATCCTCTCAACCTTGGGCCTACCCTAGGTCCCCACTGAAAAATGTCACACAAAGCAACTGATCCAGCTTTGCAGCTCCCTTGGAGGACCAAGAGTCAAGATCACAGGTTCCAAGTGTGTGGGAGAGTGGGGGCGGCGCAACCTTTATCACAAACCAGGGCCTGGCACCCCTAGGTGGTAACCCCATTCCTGACAAATCCCATCCCCCTGAAATGGCATCTCCTCTTCTGCCTGGCCCTCCCGGAACCTCACCTGCCTTCCCTGACACTTCCCTCTGCCCATCACCTCATGTCCAGACCTGCCTGAGGGGTGGGGGGAACTCTGAGGCCTGCCCCCTACCCCAGCTGGGTGCCATTGGCAGTGGGCAGGTGGTGGCATGTGGGGTCGATTCTGGTTGTCGTAGCAACCCACCAAAGTCTTGGGTGGAGGCACAAGGCCTAGAGGGGATGCGGAGGAGGGGACTCATTTTTCTCTGTTCTGGCTCAGGTGTCTGGGCTGCACAGCCCATGAACCTGAAGCTCTGCCATTCAGGACATTCGAGTGGGTGAATGTGTGTGTTGAGCAGGGAGGGAGGGGATATCTCAAAGATCTGCAATTAAATCTCAGTGCTTCTGATCTTCCTGTCTCACCCCCTAAAGGGCACCCTCTCACAGCATGAGCCTAAGGTATCATCTATAGAAGGTCTCTAACAAAATGGAAAGAGGTTGCCCATTAGCCCACCTTCTGAAGCCCCAGAGTAGGTATCAGAACCTGGGTTCTATTGAGTGCTGCTGGTAGGCTCTGTGACCTTCAACAAGTCCCTACCCCTCTCTGGGCCTCAGTTTTTTCAAAAGTAAGTGGACAGGGCTGGTCTGGAGGACCTGTGAGAAGCCTTCAAACTCTGGATGGCTCTGCACAGGGGCAGAAGTGGGAAGAGAGCAAATTCCTACAAGATGCTCAGTTGGTCAGTTGGGAACAGGCTCTGTGCTATATCGAAGCCGACTCTCAGGCTTTGAGTCAATCCTGGTTCTTTCTGGGTGGGCCTGCTGGGGCATAGGCCCCATGCCCCTGTTCAGGACTGAGACTCTGGACAGTTACGATGACTCTGATGGAGCCATAGAACATCTGAAATAGATGGGGGTTGGGGAGGGTTGAAGAGGGGATGTAGTCCTTTGGACCGAAGAGGTTGGAGGAGGAGGGATTGTTCAGGGGCACTTACCACCAAATTGTATTCCCCAAAGATGTTCAGCCCAGACCCTGACCAGCCTAGCCCATCGGCATAAGCACTGCCACCTCTCTCTCCCTGCAGCACTGAGCAGGGACTCCCTGGCAGGCTCCATGACGCTGACGCTGGGTAGAGGGGCTGTCCCGCCCAACCTACATTCCTATCCCACCATCTCCACTCTGGAAAAAATTCCCTTCAAACAACCCCTGCTTCTTGGCTCATGGGCCCGGCTACAGGCCACTCTGCCAGTCTGGAGTCGGTACCCACCATCACCCCTTCTCCTCAATTTTCCTAGCCCCCATCCTCCCAGCACAGCTGGCCGGGAGAGCCCAAGCTCATAACTCCAATTCAATCACTCTCCCTGCCATCTCTGCAGGGGCCCTAGTTACAAGGAGTTGAAATTTGCCTAAAGCCCACCTGGCTGGTGTAATGGTACCCAGTGGGCAAATTCAGGCCAGTGGCTCAGAACGCTGGTCATGCATTTTGGGCTCGAACACAACCCAGCAGGCAGGGCCGAGGACATGTGTACCTCATTACCCCAGCAATGTGGGAAGTGGTAATTAAACCCGGCTTCACTCAGAGAGACAGAGAGGGACACACATCATAAGGTCTCTGTGTGACTTTTTAGCCTTGGCAGAAGGTAGTCAGAACTGTGGGATAGGGATACATACCGTTAGAGGAGATTCTCGCCTCTGCCAGTGTGCACAGAAACTCTGATACCCCCCTAGCATCCCCCTAGACTCATTCCTACCTGAGGGCAGGGAGGGCCTAGCTTGGCTGTAATTTTTTACAGGGTCATGGGTTTTGAGTATCTGTGTAATGTCTTGGGAAGCTCTGAGCAGGGCCCCAAGAAGTGAGGATAGCCTAATTAGAGCCATCTACACTCTCCCCAGGGCCCCTTGTGACCAGATCAGAGCCTGAGAGGCAGATAGTGGGGTCAAAGGCTAGCTTGGGCTCCAGAAGAGTATCCCATGAAGAGGTTATGGTGGGACCCAGTCCTTATTGGCCACCTTGGCAGCCCTGAGTGCTAACCACAGAACCTTGGACATATGACATGCTACCCAGGCAGTTGTAGCATCACTGAGACTCCTCCAGCTCTGGGCTATCGTGAGATTTTTAGCAGAGCAGATTTGGGGAAAGGAGAACAAGGAGAAGGAGGTACCCAGCAGAGTGGCGCATGTATACACAGCTTTGTACGCACACACAGAAACATACATGTGAGAGTATGTTTTTGTGCCAGGCCCAAGAAAACCGGTCTAGGGTCCATCTGGCCCCTCACTCACCTCCCTGAGCTCCTTGGCCACCTCCTTGAGCTCCCGCAGAATGCCCTCGAGCTGCCCGATGACCATCTTCATGCGCTGTCGAATCCGCTCCCGCTCGCCACCACTGCTGGGGTCGTCACTGGGCTGCCCGAGGTCCAGGGTGCCCCGAATGTTCATCCTTCACCACGTGGCAGCAGGCCTGCCCATACTTCCCCCAGCCAGGCACACACTGCGTCTGCCTCCACAGAGCCCCCCTCAGCCAGGCAGAGCTCCACATCTTAACGGCCCCCCAGCCCACCCTGGCCCTGGGTGGTTCTCACCCAGCCCCTGACCCCTGCTATCCCACCTCCCCTGCCTCTGGATGGGGAAAGGGACACCCAGAGGCAGACAGATCTGACACAGGGGTTCAAGGTGAGGACATAGGAGGGCAGGGGGAGGGGCTTTGGACCTCAGGCGTGGCCTCCAGGACTCAATGTGCCTATCGGTGTGCTGGGCTGATGTCCAGCCGAGCCTGGACAGAGGCAGGGGTGACTCTGCAGGGACTAAGGGTAAGAGATGCCCTTGGGATAGGGGAAGGTAGAGGCAATCCCCTCACAACTCTTGGGCAGTTGCAAAGGCAGAGATCTCTGGATGCAATTGACACCTGCAGAAGGATGGTGGCTGGGGTCTTCCAGATGTGGAGGGGGTTCCAGATGTGGGCAGTTCTGGGAAGGGAGCTGGATTGGAGGAGGGCAGCCCCCTGCAGAGAGAGCAAGCCTGGCATCAGCCCTCCCAGGCTGCAGCACCAGCCGGCAATGCTGCTGCCTCCCTCCTCTCCCCAGCCTGCACCCTTCCTCGCTGGGGATATATTAATTTTTTTCTTTGTAGGGAGAGGTGGTGGAGGCAGATGGTCTACAGCACAGCTCCTCTTTGAGAAGGAAAAGAGGGAGCCCCTGCTTTAGACGCACAAGTCCTCAGCCTACGATGGGGCACTTTGCCCCAGGTCCCCCTCAACACTCCTCCCCAGCCAGGCCATGCCCCGCAGGTTCACCAGAGGGTCTCTCCAGTCTTCCGTCCTCACCCCTAATGCCTCCAAGGTGTCCTCTTACCAGCAGACCTTCCCCTTCCCGGCCCCGCCTTCCCTTAGAACCCCGCTCCGCTCCCGAACTCACCGAGGGTGGGGGTACCGGTCTGCCTTCCGATCAGCGTCGGGGGCCAAGCCCCAAGATGAGGTTGGGGGGGCCCCCAGCCTCCCTAGGGTGGGCTTCTCTCTCTGGACCCTTCGGCCCCTGGCCTCAGGGAGGTCCTCAGAGCCACCCCGGGAGACATCTGGGCGGTGGGAGGGGGCGGGGCCTCCGCGCTCCCAGAAAGGGGGCAGGAAAAATCTCCCCCAACCCCCGCCGGACTGCGGGAGGGGAAGAAGCCAGGGTCGGCGGGCCGGGGGCTCTCAGGCCACAAGTGACCTGGTCGCAGGGCGTCTGAGGCGACGCCAAGGCGGTCCCAGCGCGCGAGCCAAAGTCGGAGGGATCCCCTCAGCCCGCGCCCGGCATTCCCCGGGCTCGGCGCCGTCCGGGATCCGCTCAGTCCGGTCCGGAAGGGCCGGAGCCCGGGCCCGCGGGGGCTGCCTTGCCAGCAGGGATCCGGCCCCACTGAGTGCCCGGGGCGCCCTCAGCCCGGACCCGGGACGTCCTCGCTCCCGCACCGGAGGCGTCCCGAGCGGCCGCGAGGGTCTGCGCAGCCCAGCCCGGCGCTCAGCCTTCGGCGACAGTGCCGCCGCTGCTCGGTCCACGGCCGGAAAGGTCCGGAAGCCGCCAGCCCCGGGGGAGGGGCCGCGTGCGCCGAGGGGCCGGTGTCCGCCCGGCCCGGCCACGAACGCGCGAGGCCGGGGCCCGGCCGGGCTGGGTTCGGCGGCCGGGGCGCGGGCGGGAGCGGCGCGGGGCGGAGGAGAGGAGGCGACGCGAGCGAGAGGAGGAGGCGCGGCGAGGTAAGGGGCGGAAAGGGAGGGTGCGCGGCGGCCGGGGCCGGCAGCCTCGGCTCTGCGGCCGCCTCCTCCCGCCCGCTCCGCGCGGCTGGCCGCCTCCCCAGCCCAGGGCGCCGGGTCGCTGCCGACCGGGCGCACGAGCGACAGCTCGGGCTGGGCCTCCCTCTGAGGCCTCGCCCTGAGCTGCCCGGCCGGGCTCCGTAGGCCTGGGCCCGCTTCTCGAGTGCCGCGCCGCCCGCGCCCAGGCGCCCCCGGCCCTCCTCGCGATCCCCGCCGGACAGGCCGCCTGGGCGGGCGCTGCTCCTCCAAAGGCCGCCCGGCTCCGCGGCTCCGCGCGCTCGGCGCTGGTAGGGAAGGGCCGGCCCCGCGCGCCGGGAGGGAGCTTTTAAAGCGACACGCACGCCTCCCGGTGCCTAGCGCGACCTCTGAGCAGGGTTCTCGCCACCCCGGAGATGGGGAGACTTCCTGCGCCGGAGGGGCTGGAGGAGGTCTAGCCTCGCCGGACTCCGCTGACCTCCGGGCACGGAGGGACAGCAGGCTACGGACTTAGTTCCTTCCAACCTTAAGACACCCCTATTACCCCTTCCCCTACTGTGCTGCACTCCACGCTTCCCTTTTAAGTTGCCCGCATCCAGACCCTTTCCTTTTCCCTGTCACACCTCAAACTACCCCCAGACAGTGCCTTACATAGGATTAATTCAGAAAACAAAATATGCACAACCTTTTCGGAGCATCTACAGTGTGCCAGACTCTCGCTGGGAGCAGCTGCGAACTGGAGGCTGCTTAGATGGCAGGTAGTCACTTCGGCCGGTTATGCAGCCACTTATTCAACATTTTTTTTCCTCACCTCTGTGTACCAGACCCCACGCACGCTAGGCTCTGCGGTACAGGAAGGAAAAAAGGGCATTTCAGGAAGCTCACAGCTCTTGGGGCAACACTCCTGAGTAAACTGAAGGGTGGTAAATACAGGACAAAGGCAAGTTCTAGAAGCAATGGTAAGAGGGTGGGCCGGGCAGAGTGAGAGGGAGGGTAGGGAACAACCTAGACCGGGGTTGGCAGCCTCAACCCATAGTCAACCCGGAGCTGTATGGCAAAGGGGAGTACGAGTTCCCCAGGTGACAGTCAGGGTGAGGGAGGTGAGGCTGAGCACTCAGGCAGTGAGGAGGGGAGATGGCAGGGCCCAGACGCAGAATGAGGAAAGGGTGAGTTTAAGCCAACTGTGGCCTTTTAGAGATACCATGTTGACAGTTCTGTGGAAAGGGGATTAGAGGAAGACCACCAGATCCTGGAGAGACTTGGAGGCCATGGTTAGGAGCTTGGGTTTTATTCTGGAGCAGAGCGGAGTCTGGTCCTGCTTGCCTTCCCAGAAGATCCCTCTGGGCCTTTATGGCTGGCGGATCTGAGGACTAGGACACAGGGAGATCAATTAGGAGGCTGTTACTTGAATGGAGATGGGAGAGAAGGAGGGGCTGGGGTGGCAGCAAGGATGGAGTGGAGGGGGTGCTTTGAGAAATGATTTAGGAGAACATGGTAGGACTTGGTTGAACTTTAAGAGAGAGGGAGAGTCCAGGAGGCCCCTGAGTATGATGGCTGCACCACCAGTTGAGTTTGAGAACAGAGGGGGAGAACGGGTCTGGGGTGAGGGAGAGGAGTCCAATTTGGAATAGAGATATCCTGAAGACAGGTGAGTATGTAGGTCTCTGCCTGGGCCTCAGTATTTTTTTAATCATCATTAGAGGGGATGACATTGAGCAAAAAGACTGTGTAGACTAGTAACAAAAGTAGCAGGTCCAGGTCAGAGCCTTGGGAAAGAGTCCCTGAGTGAGAGATGGACAGGAGCTTACAGAGAGAGAGAAGAACCAGAAAAGTTCAGGCCCAGGGAGAGAGAGTTTGTTGGAAGCACGCACTCTACAGTGTCAAAGGCTGCAGTGAGCAGCTGTGAGAGGAGGAATGGAAAGTATCCATAGGAAGCCACTGGTGATGTGGCAGGGCCAGCTTTTGGGGGAGGAGGGGAAGGAAGGTGGCGGGAGCTAAGTCGTTGGACACTGAGGGCTGAGTGGTTGGTGAGGAATAGGAGTCAGTGAGCCCAGGAGACATTGCTAAATGTTCAAACAACAGGGTTGTGGAGATCTTGAACTAGAGGTGGATGAGGGTTTGAGGGAGATGGGGGCTTAGTTGGGATTTGAGGCTGGCCCATGGGGGACTTGAACCTCAGGGACAGTGACTGTTGCGCTTCCATCACCCCCATTCAACTCCAGAACTCTTCATCATCTGTCCCCATTGAACAATAACTGCCCGTTCTCCCTCCCTGCACCTGGCCCCTGGCAACCGCCATTTCACTTTCTGTATCTATGAATGTGTGACTGCTCTGGGTACTTTATAAAGTGAAATTATACAGTCCCACTAACCACTTCTGCTGCAGCAGTGAAGCTAAGGGATAGCCAAGATCAAAATGGGCTGGTCCTCAGGACAAGAAATGAGTTTCTAGTCTCAGGTCCATGGAACCATCTGCCCATGTCCAAAATGAGGGAGGTGTATTTGAACTGGGTGTGTCGGAGGTAATGATCTCAGTTTGAGAAGATGGGAATGTAACTGCTTAACACCTAATTTATCTTAGACCTTATTAATAAAAGTAAGATTTTTTTTAAAAAAAAGGAAGTGACATTTCTTTTGTCATCTGTGTGGATCAAACTACACCTAAGACCTAAATTCACTGGGTGTGTCCACAGGAGGGCAGCCAGTACAAAGGAGGGGAGAGACTGGTGTATACAGCCCTTGAAGAAGGATGGGTTGGTCAGGCCAGGCTGGAGAAGAAGAGTCTCAGGAGGGGTCTCTGATTGTAAATCCCCAAGGGGATGCCACAGACAAGAGGGAATAGATAGGTTCTGGGTGGTTCTTAGGCTTGCCTTCCTTAGTATCTGGAATGAACCCATTCTCTCTTTCCCCCGACCTCCCTGCCTTTCTGCCCAGAACCCCCATTCTTCAGAGCTCTGCTTGGATTCACTATCCTTGCCCCCCATTCTCCACAGCCTTCCCCAGTCCTTTAGTCAACAGGAACAAACAGAAGCACTCTTTTGGACCTTAAGTAAATGTTTCCTAGTATGTTCATTTAATATGCTAGCTGTGTAACCTTGGGCAAGTCAGTTAACCTCTCTGAGCAGGGATAAGAAGCCCATAACATTTTTATTTTTTCATGTGTTGGCTGTCTTGCCAAAAAAGAAATGTTGTTTTTTGCTGCCTCTTTGATTCAGAAAAATAGGGATGATAAGAGTACCTACTTTCTCTTTTTAAAGAAAGATTTTATTTATTTAGTTTTAAAGATGGGGGAAGGGAGGGGGAAAGAGAGGGAGAGAAACATCAATGTGTGGTTGCCTCTTGAAACTGGGGAACTGGCCTGCAACCCAGGCATGAGCCCTGACTGGGAATCGAACCAGTGACTCTTTGGTTCACAGGCTGGCACTCAGTCCACTGAGCAACACCAGCCAGGGCAAGAGTACCTACTTTCTAGGGTCACAGTGAACATGGAATAAGAAAATGAACATGGAAGTCCTTGACCTAAAGCCAAGCACCTGGTAGGTGCTTCATAGATCGTAGCTGCTCTCAGCACTTATTAACAGCTTTGTGTCTATAAACCTTATTTCCATGGGAGGCTGTGAACTCCCAGGGTGGTATCTGTTTTGTGTCTGCCCTGTCTCTCACATGGACCAGTGGTGGGGATGTGATATTTAGTGACTTTTACTTTGGCCTATTTTCTGTCTTTTATCTCGTATCTGGCATCCCTTTCTCTTAGGAACTTCTTCCCTGTTGTCACACAGACATGATGGGTTGTTTGTTAAAGTCCCACTACTTCCACACATGCTGCCCCATTGCCAGCAGGTAGTTGTGTGACCCAGACTGTACCAATCATAGAAGCCCCTTCTCCAGCACCAGTGATTGGCTCAAGGGGTGGGCACATCACCCAAGCAGGGCCAATCAGAGGCTTTCCCTGGGATTGATATGTGGATTCTGGGAGGAGGAAGCCTCCTTCCTACTGAGCACGCACTGGATGTTATAGTCCTGAGGCTTCAAGGCTTCCAACAAGGCATCTTTCCCACTAAATGTAAGAGTCAAACAAAGTAACAGACGGAAGAGGAATTTAGAGAGCATAACGGCAGCCCTGAGTCCTGATTTTGGCTCTCATTCCTCGGTTCCTGCCATTCTTCTTTCAGTCCTGGGAGCTGCAACAACATCCTACCCATCTATAACAGCCAATAAAGTCCTCATTACTCCAGTTGATTTGGTGAGCCTGACATATATACTTGGAATACTAAATGAACAGATGATCTACTAAATTAGATTTCCACATGGGGGCAGGAGCTGCTGTCCTGTGGCTACAGAGGGGAAGGTGAATATTTGGCAGATTATTGCATTAGGCAGACTTCAATTTGGGTCCCAGTTCTGCCATTCACCAGCTGTGTGATCTTGCGTAAATTATTTGCCTGCTCTGAATTTGAG